TTCAAAGCTACGAGAATAGTTTTAGTGCGCAAAGAAAACAAAAATAACGACTTTATTCAACAATTCTTCTCCCCCGAGTTACTGTCTTCCGCCATTTTGGAGAGTATCACAACGCATACGCAAGCTTTACCCTAAGCGTAAACAACGCTAATTACGCCGATTACGTTCAAGCGCGCGCTTTCCCCCTCAAACGTAAACACTGCTGATTATGTTCTTGGGTACTCTCCAAAATGGTGGAAGACATAACTCGGGGGAGAAGAATTGTTAAATAAATTGTTATTTTTGTTTTCTTTGCGCACAAAAAGTATTTTCGTAGCTTCGCAAAACTGAAGCCGCCGATGTCACATGGACTGTTTTACCGATGTCCTTACTACGTTTCTGGACCTGGGAACATTACAGTTGCGTTGATGTCGATGGGAGGGGTCAGAGAGCTCTCAGCTCTATCAAAAGATGAACGAAGGTCTTATGGGTTTGGAACGACATGAGGGTGAGTAATTAATGACAGCCTTTAATTAACACCCTTTAAATATTCATGTATAAAGTTGTTCTTTAATGCGACATTCATCAGTTAATCCAACATCGATAGACCAATAACCTATTAAAGTGGAAAAGTGCAAACTTCTGTAACAAATCAGTCAAAGCAATGGTAGCTAAACCTAAGAACTGACATCATAATGAAATGTAATGATGTCATAGAGCTACTGTTTAAAGAGAGAGATGAATGATGTCATCGGATCTTACCTGGCTCAATTTCTTCATGATCTGTGTCGCAATTCAGATTTTTGGTATGCATGAGTGTGACGAACACTCACACCCACACTAACACGGTATCAGTTTTCTTTACTCGCCATGATAAAAGACAACTTTCAGCAGCGAAATAAATCCAGTTTCTTATCGCTCCGAGTCAAATAAGACACGAGGGAGAGGCAGAGAAAGAAGAGAAAAGAGAGGAATGGTGGGCAAAGATGACAGCAAGGAGGAAAGGAGGCGTTCTGACAATATGGCTGTTTGTTTACTTCAGAGACACATCACGCTTCAGACCCACACACTACATACCAGACTGACTAACAAACAAGAGCTCCTATTCACACACACACACACACACACACACACACTTTACATATATCTTAGTGGTTGAAATGTAAACTTGCTTAGGTAAATCTTAACATGTGTCCGATATAGTTTCCTAAAATCAACTGTCTCAAAATGTGCCAAGACACCTAAGTGTGCAGTCAAAAGATGTCAATATGAACTCAAACATTTCTTCAATATAAAAAATGAGACACTATCCACATTCTTCTAATGGCTCTATGCTGTTAACAATTGTCTCATTTGTCTATTTTTAGTTCTCCTAAAAAATTGTAGGAGAAACATCACATACTTTTTATATTTGAATGAACTATATCTCAAGACCTCATTAACGTTTCCTTTGAACAATTTTCTTTTGAGATGACAACATAACCGATTGAGTTTTCCTTGTAGTAATAATGCAGTGTGGGAGGAAAAGAAAAAAAGAAGGCAGATTATTACAAGTCAGAACAGAAAAAGAACGAGAGCAAAAAAAAAATTAATGTTGACGTTTTATTCAATTTTTATATCTAAAAATTAGTGAAATTAATACAAATCTTTTAGATATCAATCCTCATATGTGATGGACAATGATCATCTTTGTATCTACTTTGAAGGCATCGTGAGTAAAACAGCTTCACATTTAATGAACCATATGCAAAACTCTTGAACCGGAAGCAATGAATCCAATTTAACGAATACAGAGGTCAACTGCGCATAACCCCTAATCACCCAGATGGACTGTAATACAGAATACATGCTTTTCTGCAATCTACACATGCACACTTCGGAAGATTTAACAGGAGGATTACCTAAAGTTTGCAAGGTTTGTGTAATTAAAACTGAGATTCAAAGATTCACTTAATTTATATAAATGCTTATTAATGTATATTAGAAATTTTCCTTTATATAACTAATAATAGAAAGGTAAACACTAAGACACTTCTTTTCATTTATTGCTTACTTTCATTGTTTAATACTGAGACCCACACATGATAAGCAGGGGGAAAAAAGTAAATCATGCACACAATTTCCTAATTCGTTTCCTCGGTTTAAGTAAATCATTTGCTCAATATAATAATTTGTTCTACTTCCAGTTGCTGCTATGT